TCCTAATCATGTGTTCTCCATCTTCCTGAAAAACCCTTTCATAATTTATCCTCTCTCCAATAACGGCTCCCTTATCCTGACTCATCCAATGATTGTTTTGTTTCCTATTTCCTGAGAAATAAAAGCAAAGACAGCTTCCAAAGCTCATACTACCCATCATCTGCATCTGTATACTCTCTTCTGTGACTACTGAAGAACTGGCTGTCAATACTTCTAAGGCCAACCTGTCCAGCTGTGCTCAGGAGGACTGCATCCCATCTTGCCTACTCAAGGACATGGCTACAGCAGTTCTTCCTTCTCCTTCCAGTATCATCAATTTCCCCCTTTTTACTGGATCCAATAGGACACTGCATTACAGAGATATGCTTTACTAGACCCTTCCTAAAAACAAAAACATTCTCAGTAACCACTTTCCCTCTAGCTACTACCCCATTTCTATGCTGCTCTTTATGGCATAACTTTTTGAAAGAAACGTCTACACTCACCACTTTTAATTCTTCACCTTTCACTTTATTTTGAACTCATCACACCAGTCAAGAGAGATTATTATTTTAAAGGACACTAAAATCTCCATGTGGCTAACTCCAAGGCTCTATTCTCAGTTCTCACTAGCTGGTTCTTTCTTAAGGTTCCAACTTCTAAATGTTGGAATGCCCGGGGGCTCAGTCATCTTTTGGGAAGATACTTCCCTCTCCACAGGTGATCTCACCCAGTCCCATGACTTTAAATACCATTATAGGCTGACACTCCCAACTATATGCGTAGGCCTCTCCCCTGAACTTTGTAGCATATCCAACTGACAGTTTAATCTGTCCACTTGGATATCTAACAGGCATTTCAAATCCCTCATCTCCATGCCATATACTCCCAAATTGCTCTTTCCACAATCTTTCACATCTCTGTAAGCTAAAGCTATGTTCTCTCGGTTCCTAATACCAAAAAGCTAAAAAACAACTTAAACTCCTCTTCTTCCTTCCAATCCCAATCTGATCCACCAACAAATACAGGTTAGTCTACTTTAAACATACATCTGCAGTCTAACCACTTCTCAGATCTTCCCCTACCATCAACCTAGTTGAAAGATCCCAAGAGCTCCTATCTAGATTATTCCACTAGTCTGAGGGCCCTGTACTGGCCCTTGATTTTTTTTTTTTTTTTTTTTTTTTGAGTTGGAGTCTCACTCGGTCGTCCAGACTGGAGTGCAGTGGCCGCTTCCGGCCACCGCAGCCTCGCCTGCTGGGCTCCGGCGATCCTTCCGTCTCAGCCTTCCGAGTAGCCAGAATTACAGGCGTGCGCTACCACGCCCGGCTGATTTTTTGATTTATTGTAGAGATGAGGTCTCGCTGCCCAGGCGGGTCTTGAACCCACGGGCTCAGGCAATGCACTCACCTCAGCCTCTCAAAGGCGTGGGATTACAGGCTGAGCCACCGAGCCCGGCTGGCCCTTGTTCTTAAGATAATAGCAGAGTCATCATTTTACTCTTCTGCTCAAAGCCCATCAATGGAGTGAGCCTTCCCCACTCCTTACCAACATCCTTATGATGGTTTACAAAGCCCTGTATCCCTTGGCCTCCCACTACCTCTCTGACCTCATCTCCTACCACTGTTTCCCTCATTGGTGCTATTCTAGCCACACAGGTCTCCTTGCTCTTTCTTGAATGTGTCAAACAAATTTAGAATCTTTGCCTTTGCCCTTCCCTCCACCCAAAACAGTGTTGTCCAGAATTGATATGTCAGGCGACCTTTTTCCTTCAGGAGTCTTTTCAAACACACCTTAACAGCAAGGCCTTCCCTGACACTCTAGAACAAGTATAACACCACCAAATCACATTCCCTTTCTCCTGTTTTATTTTTCTTCAAAGCATTTATCACCATCTGACATACTAAATATTTAATTGTACTGTTTGCTGCTTGGTTCTCTTCTCTAGGAGGTTCTGTGAGGGCTATCTCTCCCATGTGTAGCACATATTTGCTTGCAATTTCCTTGAAATGTTCTTCAGTTGGCTTCCAAGGCTCACTTTCTCTGGGCTTACCTATTGTTTCACCAGCTAGTCATTTTTTTCCCTGCTAGTAAATAAAAAGAAGTGGGAAGGTACAAACCATCTTAGGAAGATAACCGGTCTTCTATGTTAAGCTGGGTGGGGCCTGTGGCAGCAAGAAGGCCAGAAAACCACCTACCCTCTAGCAAGATATCTTGGTACCTAGGGATGCTAGAAAGCAAGAAAGAACTTGTGTTCTATATGTGCAGATGGGACACCGGCAGCATGACTTCCAATATATTAAAGTGTATTCACTTTCTTCCACTGAAAATGAAAACTACTTACTAATAAAAAGAACTTTTAAATGTATTTGTATTGCTTCAACCAACAGAAAATATAAAATTGAATTTACCATGTAGTCATAAGAATTATGAAAGAACTAAAGTAACTCATATTATAAAGTAAATAGGCAGCTCCAAATTTATCTGGTCATGGACAGTAGATACAATAATAAAAAGGATGAAAATTAACATTTTTCTACCATAAAAACAAGGTTGACTAAATTTTGGAAATAATATTAAAAAGTGTTCCTGATAAAAATAAAATAAAAATAAGCTACAAAATAGCATTTTCCTCCTACATTATCCAACCTTGTTAAGAAATGAGCAAGGAATTATCACAGACTGAAGGAGAGGAAAGAGAAATAACCTAAATGCAACAGGGGACACCAGACAGAATCCTGGAATACAAGAAAAAGACATTAATGGAAAAACGGATGAAAACCACATAAAGTCTACACTTTAGCTTAAAAGCAAACAAACAAATAAAAACACCCAAGCAAAAATATCCATTTGGAACAAGAAGCACTCCCTCAGTATGTAGCACACATCCTCTGCAGATGTACTTGCTATACCCGGAAATCTTATAATAGTCAAGACACTATATTGGGGGCTGGACATCTTTAATTGTTAGAAGGTTCTTTCCTGTATTGCTTTGAGTTTCATTCCTTGGTAACCTCAGTCTCATTCTTCCTTCTTGAAGAATACAAAGTCTAATTACTCTTTTGCTTGATCTTCACATATCCTATATTCTGTCTCAAGTTTCTTTTTGAAGTTTGACATACCCAGTTCCCTTCATCTTACACATCACGATTTTTATGCCCTTCATCATTCTTGTCACACAACCTTTAAAGTGCTCCAGTTTGTCAAATGGCCTTCTGAAAACCAATGCTTGGAACCAAACACTAACGTAGAGTACATCAAACTACTTCACTTCTTGTTTTGGACACTATGCCTGAAATTGTCCTTTTTCTTTAGCAGTTACATTGCATTGCTGATCATTAATGAATTGCACAATCAACAATTCCTTAGTTCTTTTTCATATGGATTCCTATGAAGGAATTGTCAGAAGGGGAGAAAGGAGTGTAGCTGTCAACATCACTCTGCCATTCTATTCTCTTCATTACAAATATTTTGAGTGCCATGTGCCAGACAACTGCAATTCTATACCTATCTACATGTAACAACTGCTATAGTCTGAATGTTTGAACCCCTAAAATTCATATTTTGAAATCCTAACCCCTGAAGTAATAGAATAAGAAGGTGGAACCTAGCCAGACTCGGTGGCTCAGCCTGTAATCCTGCGCTTTGGGAAGCTGAGGTGAGTGGATTGCCTGAGCCCACGGGTTTGAGACCCGCGTGGGCAACTTGGCGAGACCTCATCTCTACAATAAATCAAAACGAGCCGAGGATGGTAGCGCACGCCTGTAGTTCTAGCTACTTGGAAGGCTGAGGCGGAAGGATCAGCGGAGCCCAGCAGGTCGAGGCTGCGGTGGCCAGGAGCAGCCACTGCACTCCAGTCTGGGTGACGGAGTGAGACTCCAACTCAAAAAAAAAAAAAAGAAGGTGGAACCTTTGGGAGGTGATTAAGTTATGAAGGTGGAGACCTCATGAATGAGATTAGTGCCCTTGTAAAAGGACCCCAGAGGGGTCCTCATCCCTTCTTCCATGTGAGGTTACAATGAAAAGACCACTATGTAGGAAGTGGGCCTTCACCAGACATTGAATCTACCATAGCCTTCATCTTGAACTTGCCAGGCTCAAGAACTGTGAGAAATAAATTCGTGTTGTTTATAAACTGTCCAGTTTACAGTATTTTGTTATAGCAGCTCCAGGAGACTAAGACGACTTTCCAAATCTGACTGAAGAACTTATTTCAACATAACATATAAAAGGTTGAACTAACAGAAACTATGCAAAGTAGCTCCCAATCATTATCCAACTAGTCAATCTAAAAAGCACAACATCACTACCAATCAGTTACCCATACTTAGGTGGTATCACTTAATGCCTCCATTCTCAGCCCTATGACCTTTTTCCTCCTCATGTACTGCCAAGTGGCAAGGTGGGATGTTCAGGGTACCCCTCTAAGAAAGAGAGTCTTCATTCACCTGTAAGCTTTACTTAAGAGTCATAAACCTCAACTGAGAAAGACACATTTTAGAGCTGCCACGCATCACCTTTCAGAAACCAAAGCGTCAACTGTGAGTTTCTCAATAGCTCTTCCTGGGCTGGAGTCGCCTATTATACAAAGCCAACTCATTGCTTCCTTACATCTGGGCATCATCAATCTATTTTCTTACCTTTCACCCTCAACATCACCGAATCCCTCTGAAGTCAAAGCATTAGTCATTTGTGTCAGGTGTAAAACGCAAACACAGCACGTGCACGAGGATGCTCTGATGTCCATAGTATGCAAAACCCTGAACATTTAGAGATCGCTTAAATCCCAGGTGTTGTATAAAGGGTCTCAAGAAAGACATACATATTTGCAAGGGAGCCTTTCCATATTTGTCGCTTTGGGGACAGAGAGTTCCTAAGTCAGGACTAGGCTGCCAGCAACACTCCGTCACCTCATACAACCCCTAAGATGAAGCCAAGGGAGGCGGCTGAAAGGCCTGGAGCGAGGCAGGCGCCGGGTCCCCGAGGAGTGACAGGGCGGGCCGGCGCTCCCCGACCCTCACCTCTCTTGTCCAGCAGCCACATGAACGCGAAGCAGGGCAGGAAGCCGATGGGCCCCCACAGCACGAGCAGCGCGATGTCCCAGCTGGAGAAGCCGTAGGCCTGGCGCGCCGAGTTCTGGATGGGGCCCCAGGTGTTCCAGACCAGGCCCTGCGCGAACGCGAGCAGCGAGAAGAGCAGGAGAACCAGCCAGCGGCGCCCGTACACCCGCCCGGGGCCCGGGGCCGCGGCGGGCAGCGCCGCCGCTGCCGCCGCCGCTTCCCGGCTTCTCCGGGCAGCCCCCGGCCTAGGCCCGAGCCCGGGCCCGGGCCCCAGCAGCGGCTGCCGCTCCTCCTCGCTGCTCCAGCCCGAGCCCATGGCGACGCGCCGCCCGCGGGGCCCCTGGCCGGCGCAGTCCAAGTCGCAGCCGACCAGCCCAGCGCAGGTGCAGCCGCAGGAGCAGGAGGCGGAGGCAGATGTGGTCGCCCTCGGCCTCCCGGCCGCGCCTGCTGCGCCTGCGCGGCCGCCGCCGGCCCCGGGTGGGAGGCGGGGCAGGCGGCGAGGAGTCTGGGGCCCGCCCTCCCCGCAGGGGGTGGCCAGAAATCGCCGGCGTGAGGAGGAGAGGGGTCCGGGTCCCAGAAGCAGGACTGAGAGGAGGTGAAAAGGCCAACTAGAGCAAGGCGGAGCCGGGGAGAGGGGAATTCCCAGAGTCTGTATTAGAGGAGGTTGGGCAAGGAACCCTGAAGTTGTTGGAGGAAGTGCTCAAGTTAAATCCTGTGTATAATAAACAACTTGATGACTTCTGGTCACTTGATTTAATGATTGCTTGTATTTCGAGTATATTTTTATTTGTGTTGGGTTGGTAACTTCAGAAAATTATAGCGGGAGCAAGGATAAAATTGAAATGGGGTGGGGTTTCAGGGGATTGTCCCATGAAAACCATTTCTCGTTTTTTATGTACAGTAAATACTACCTAGTGCGTGTTACATTGTCAACGAGGAGGTTATAAACTAGCCAATTTCATTCACCTATATAAAGGATGTAATCTTTCTATCCTTTTTGCCTGTCACATAATAGGGGAGCAATAAAGATATAGTCACTAAGGTTGGAATGTTTTTGCCCCAAAGTTACCTAGATGCATCCCAAGTTATTATGATTTTGACCAAAAAGAGTAAATGAGAAAGGTGGAGGTTGTTGATCTCTTCATCGGGCAGCTGTTTATTTTGATATACAAATCCAGAAGTCTGACGGCTGTCAATTAGTGTCCTTGAAACCCTAAGTCAAGCAATTTGTCTTGGACGTGGCATATCTCGAATTGTGTGGCATCCAGGTTTGATTGGGAAATGAATCACAGGGAACGCAATTAAAAGATGCTTTGCCTGAGGTTTGTATTCCCGGCAGCCACGAAAACCAGATGGAGTCACACTGCTGCCAGAAGGGCAAGAGGTGGAAGAAAAGCTTGAGCCAGCCTAACTTTCAAGGCTAGTAAGAGCGGCTGCAGAGTGAATGCAGAGACACACGTCACCGCTCGGAGCCCCTCAAAACAGCGAATCATCCCCCCAAACTCCAATCCTGTGGGGTGGAAAAAGCCAAGGCGTAAAAGAAGGACCTGACTAAAAGACAAAAAAAGCAGAAACGAAGCCAAGACTTCAGGAAAGAAAGCTAACCTCCGGGAAAAGTATGAACCACCACAACCCAGACCACGTGTTTGCATTTCAACACACCGGGAATCAAAACAAGGCCGCGTGGCCCCGCCCAGCGTCCGTCACGTGACTTTCTCGTGAGCCGGCGTTTCCGGGGAAGCCCTGCCGGAGCCGCGGGAACTCCTTCCTGTGGTGCCGCCTCTGGCTCCCGGGTTTGGCCCTTCCTCGGACACCACTCCAGCTTCGCTTCTCTTTGGGTTCCAGTGGAGCCCGCCTGGCGGTAGCCATGGCAGCAGGCTCCGGGGCGACCATGGCTACCATGGAGGAAGGTAGGTGGCAGGCTGAGGTCAGACCCGGAGGACTAGCCCAGTGTCAACTGACTCTCGCAGCACCTGTCATATCCGTTTGCCTTCGCCCCATTCCAGGTCTCTCTGGCCTTGCATTAGGCTGTAAAGAAACTTAAGAATTTTCTAGTGGACGTGGCATTTCTCGAATTGTGTGGCATCCAGGTTTGTAATTGAACGGTCATCGTAACTCCGCATCCACAGGTGCTGTTTCGTGCTCAGGGTTGTTTTGAATGTTAGAGTGGATTAAAATGAAAACTGTGAAACTGAAGCCGACCCTTGAGGCACATAATCAAGGACTCTTGCGAACAGGGATTATGAGCTTTTATTCGATTTCAGTGGAACCCTGGTTTAGCATGTGGATGAGGTTTGGAGGCCCATGAACCTGATATCCCTGTTAGCATTTATTGAATGATTGCTCCCTGCAGGGCACTGTTCTGGATACTGTCACGGGATCCAGAGATTCTTGTGGCTCAGCCTGTAATTCCGCGCCTTTGAGAGGCTGAGGTGAGTGGATTGCTTGAGCCCACGGGTTCGAGACCCGCCTGGGCAACTTGGCGAGACCTCATCTCTACAATAAATAATAAACAAAATTAACTGGGTGTGGTGGCGCGCGCTTGTAGTTCCAGCTACTTGGAAGGCTGAGGCGGAAGGATCGCCAGAGCCCAGCAGGTCGAGGCTGCGGTGGCCGGGAGCGGCCACTGCACTCCTGTCTGGGCGACAGAGCTGAGACTCCAACTCAAAACAACAACAACAACAACAACAAAGAATCTTTATAACAATACCTTTTCCCAAGAAACTCTCAGTGAGTAAAGGAGCCTAGAAAGGGGAAAAAGTGACTTATGTGGTCACGCGAACTATGTTATCAGGAGTACACCCTCTGTGAAGACTGACGCCAGGAGGAGGTACCTTCGTGGTGAAAATATAAATTCTTCAAGGAGGGAATAGCTTGAGGTAAGCCTTTCTGGTTGAATAAGATAGTTATAAACTCTGCTAGTGGTGGTGAGGCTTAGGAAGATGGAGCAGAAAAGCACAGGATACATGTATTTGGAGATCAAATAGTTTGCTTAGAGGGGAAGATGCCCATTCCATGCAGAAGAAATAAATTATAACCTCCTACTATCTGATCACTGTCTCCTATGGAGACAATTCTTGACCTTCATCTGTAACTCCGTTTCATTGATCCTTACATTTTGTGTTCACTGCACCTCCTTATCCAGAGTGCATTATCATTATACATTTTCTTTTGAAAATACACTGTTCTCTTGTCACTCCCTGCATTTTATTCTGAATTACTCTGGATGAACTCAACCTTTTTTCACTCTTTATACCTACACATACATAGCTAAACTTTGCTGGAAAACGTCTTGCACAAATTGATGACAGTATAGATGAAAATAGCCAAACTCTTCAATATTCACTCACTATGGGCCTGAGATCCTTATGGTCCTCTATTTCTATAGTAAACCAACTTTCTAATTTTCTTCAGTGATGATTCCCCAAACTCTCTATAAACTCTCTTCCTCTCTTTCTTACTTTCAACTGATGACTTTGCAAGTCAGGTCAAGTCTGCATCTAATCTACGTTTTTTCTTCTTCACTATCAGACCCTAGTCCAAATCACTCACATTTTCTCACATAAACTGTATCTTCCTGACTTGTTTCTCTATTTCTGATTTTGTGCCCCTCTAATTCCTTCTTCATTCAGCAGTAAAAAAGGAATTTATGTAAAGTTTTTCAACGTATTCCTTTGCACTTAGGACTTAGAATAAAACCCAAACTCCTAACCATGGCCTATAAAGATCCTTGGTCTCGGTTCTGCTGATGTGCTTTAGCAGCATCTCTTGTCATTCATTTCCCCCTCCTGCTTTTCACATAGCTGGCTTATCAATCTTCAGGTTTCAAAGTAGGTCATCACCTGAGACCTTACCAGACCAAGCTATCTAAAACAGTCACTGTGATTTTTTTCCTCCACCCCCAACCCTAGATATTCTATAATACCACGTCCTGTTTCTGTCTCTTTACTTATTACAGCCTGTGATTACTTGTTTATTATTTTTATCCATTAGACTGTAAGTACCTTGAGGGCAGAACCTATGTCTGTTTCACTCATCACCATGTACCCAGCTGCAAGTACAATTCCAGGTACATAGTGGGCACTTAATTCATATTATTACATATTTGTTGAGTAAACAAATAAGGGAACTCTGTGCCAAGCCTAGAGGCAAGAGGAAAAGAGGATGGCATGATCCAAAAACTGAAGAAGTTAGTGTAAGGTGTGGTAAGAAAAGAAGGATCCTGAAGGTCACCTTATGCCTAGTTAAGGAGTCTAGACTTTAAGACATTGAGAAGCCTTGAAGAGTTTTAGGTAGGGCAGTAACAGGATCAGACGTGTCAGACCGGCTGAAGGGTGAAGGATAGGACAAAGAGAGAAAGACTAGAGGACAAGGTACTTAATCCCTCTGAGCTTCAGTTTCCTTGTCTGTAAAAGGCATGACTATTGTAAAAAATTAAAGATGATAAATGTAGGTTATTTAATATAGTGTCTGGCAGGAATTAGGTATTCAAGAATGGACACCATTTTTATTATTAATAAAAAAATGCCAGCTTTGGTGACTGATGTTGAAACTGAGAGGAAATAAATTGAAGATGTTATTTAAAAGAAGACATTGCCATAAGTGAGATAAGGCTGATGTGAACAAAGGGTAAGAAAAATATATACATTTAATTCAAGCGAAAGTATCCGTACATTCAGTACAATGATGAATATAATGGGAGTCATAGAAAAGTTCATTTTTGAGCAAACTTCTTTAACACTCCATTATCAAAAAAGTATCTAAATGCACCCTGTAAATAGGGCCTCTATTATACAGTGAGGTAGAAGACAGTCTGTCCTAAAATAGCTCATAAATACCATTTTCAGAGGGAACGACATAGATAAAAAGAATTATAGAATAAGATATATCCACAAGGTAAAATGCAATTAGTTGAGACATAATAATTAGTGTCTCATTAAGTGCTTTGAGGGCTGAGAGGAGAAGGAACTAATAGACATTGGGTTGGTGTGTGCTCCTGGAATAATTTTTTAAAGGATTAGTGAGGTGAGGCCAGAGTGAAGTGAGCAGAGAGAAGATCAAGGCGTGTTGAGGCAGAGGGCCGGAAGGAAGGTGGGGAGACTGGTTCCCCTAGCATGGAGGTGGTGACTGAGAATGAGGGTGAAAAGCAGGAAGGCTGTGTCCACTGAGTCCAGACAAGAGCAGGGTGAAAACAGAGAAGTTGAAGAAGGAAAAACATTGTGGGTTTTGATCTTCTCAGAAAAATGGAGCAAGGCATCACAAAAGTGAGGAAGTGAAAAAGGATATTGGGGATTGGAGAATGAGGAAGCTTGAAATGGTTGCCTAGGCTATTACGGAAGTGGTTAGTAGGAGTCAGTGAGTGGTAGCAGGAAAGGGTAACCTGTGGAAGTGAGCCTGAAAGTGAACCCCTTGTTTTGAGACTGTTTATGGTTGTGCTCAATAACTCATTATGCAGAAGCAGAGAAAACAAATGGTTCGTTTCAATAAAGTTTTAATGTGAATTCTTATTCAGTTATTTAGAAAATATTTGCTTAACATCATTTTATGCCAAGCACTGTGCTGATCTCTAGGGATACTAGAGACTTACCTTCAAGGATGTGATTTTTTTTTTTTTTGAAGTAACATCTTAGAAATAATTAAAAACAAGCAAGACTTTATCTCTCCAAATTTTTTTTTTTTTTTTTTTTAATTAGCCAGGCATGGTGGCATACCTGTAGTCCCAGCTACTTGGGAAGCCGAGGCAGAAGGATCACTTGAGCCCGGGAGATTGAGGTTGTGGTGAGCTGTGGTCATGCCACTGCACTCTAGCCTGACGACAGAGTAAGATTGCCTCAAAAAACAAAAATAAATAAATTATTGAAAACAAACATGAAGCTACTTATTGTTAATTAAGAATCAATCTTAATTCTGAGTGTGAGATATTACTTTAAAGATTACATGTTGGTTGAAGGATCCAGTTAAATTAAAAATTGCTCTTTGAGCCTGAGTCTGTCTTTCAGACTGAGGTTATATTTCTTTTATTTGGCTCTCATATTTTTAGTTAGAGCCAGGATTATGCTTTGATGAAAAGAAGAATGTGCTCTTACTAATTCTTCTTCTAATACTTCCCTAGGAAATATCCCCAGAGTTTCATACTGAGCAGACATTCCTGCATAACTGGATTTACTCCTCTTCAACTGGAGATGCATACTCTCCATTGTCATTTTAGTTCTCCTTTTACAAAGGGGTGGAGGGCAGAAGAGTTTAAAGAGTTACACAGTTGCCCATGTGACCCAGAGATCATATTAGCCAGGCAGGGTGCCACAGCATGCAAAAAAAAAAAAAAAAAAGTAAAAGCCTGTGTAATCTCAAAAAGTAAAAAAAATTCCCATTCTAGAGCACAAGTGTAATTTATAGTGTAGCTAAAATACTTTGTACTCAGTAATGATAAATAGCCAAAAAACAGTACTCTTGAATATTTTTCATTGTGGTAAAAACACTAAAATTAACTTTGTTGCTCATTTTTAAGAGTACAGTGCAGAAGTGTTAAGTAGAATCACATCATTGGGAAAGAGAATGACTGTACTTTTTCACCTTGCAAATCTGAAACTCTATACTCATTAAGCAATAATTTCTCCTTTTCTTGCCTCTACCCACAGTTACAACAGAATGGTTGGTAACTACCATTCTATTTTCAGTCTATAAATTTGACCACTGTAGATCCTCATATAAGTAAAATAATACAATATTTGTGTTTTTGTGACTTATTTCATTTAGCATAATGTCTTCAAGGTTCGTCCATGTTGTAACATGTGACAGGATTTCTGACCTTTTTAAGGCTGGATAATATTCCATTATATCTATAAACATTTTGCTTCCCCATTCATCCATCAGTGGACATTTGGATTTCTTCCACTACTTGGCTCTTATC